AATATAATATATATTATACATGTTGTTTTGATAAAATAATTCGTAAGGAACGTTTTTATAATTAACGCGCAAATAGTAAATCGTACCATAACAATTACGAATAGTATCGTAAGTACTTAAAATAATTGGATATTGATTCATATAGCAGAATATCTATTATATTATTATATATTATTTTAATAAGTATATATGTTGATAACGCGATAACCGAAACCGATTCTTACAAAAATCAATAGGTGATCCCGACGCATAATTAAACCACGAGATACATAGGTATACAGTGAACAATGAACATGCTAACTGTCTTATCGTCGTCGTATATTATAATATGTGATATCGTTTAATAATAAAATGTATAATATATTATTGGCATATTATGCACATTATGCAATATTATTATTGGTGATCGGTTTTCCGCGAGTTCAAATTGCATTCGGTTACGCGTGTTGCTCGCTCGACGCCCATGGTCAGAGTAATAATTATTATTATCGCGAGCGTTATCGCTATTGTCATTACGAGGCGCCGCCGTCACCACTTTGGGACGTATAGCTGCTCCGATTGATTCTATCATTAAGACAAATTAGTGCAATCTACGCACTCAATTATAATTATGTCGTCTCTATACAATATTATTATTACATTCTGTTGTCAAATTCGTTCTTCATTGACATATAATAGTTTCGTTTGATAGTCGCGTATTAGTCACAGAGCAGCACCCTCAGCAGTAACACGACGTCTTCGCCAACATTTATCGAGCAAACTGTTAAGCAAGCGCAGATTTGAAGAGAATACACCAGTCACCACTGACAGATAATGATGACCGGCTGCCATCCACGTAATCGGCATCAAAATTAATTAAAATATTTTGATAACAATAAACTGTCGTCGTCGTCGTCATCGTTATATATTTTACTCACATTCGCCTCAAGTCTAAAATAAATCTGTTCAGTTTGTCGATACCGCTGACATAGGACGGACGGCCTGCCTGTACACCGGCACGCTGAATAAATTGATCGGACACCGGAACGACTGGACGAGAAAAGCAGCAGCATCGACCGTGACAATTGCGGCGAGCAAAGAAAAATCGCAGCGTTTCCGCTGCGGCACGGTCAGCAGTTGTAGCACATACCAAAATCACCACCACCACCACCACCTGCAACCCCAGCTGCTAAAGGTAAGAGGTGTTTTTCGCTTTCTTTATTCAATTCTATTGGGTAGTTTTATTTTGTCATTTGCACGTATACGCTGTATACACGTGTCATCACGATCGCTTGGGGGCAGAGTTGATTAAAAAAATGATTTTTTTAAAAAAATCAAAAAAATTGTTTTAATCGTTTAAAACATGATTTTTTTGTTTAAAACATGTTTTTTTAAAATGATTTTTTCAGCTGTTTTAAACATGTTTAAAACATGATTTAATCGAGTTTAAAACAAAATATTATGTAATTTATTTAAAAAAAATCATTTATTTAATAATTTAATATCATAATTTTTTTATAACTAGCGTGTAATTTAACCACGACTATCGGTTTTACACTTAAAAATCGTTTTTGAATATTTTGATAATGATTGATGATAAAGAACTGATCTGTTATCTACATCGTGATAAAGAATACTGATTACTGTATTTACTATTTTCAATTTTGGCGGGTTTGCGCCACGGACTAAGATATGCAATTAACTATTAAGACAATTGTGATATTTAAATATTATGTTACATTGTTACCTATCAAGTTGATATTAATTTAAATATTTTTTTTTTTATTTATGTTGGAATACAACTAATTACTAATTACTAAATAGTAATTGTTATGTTATTTATTGGTATGTAATTTAAACAAATAAATAAATAATTAATAATTATATTACCTAAAGAACTACAGAAGTAATATATTATATAACCATTGAAGTGTTAGTAATCTATTATCTAAATAAGTAAAATTATCATTATACATTTTATAAATTTTAAATTTGTTTATGAAATAAAAAATAATAATAAATAGGAGTAGCCAGTGTGAACTTACAAATAATAAGTTATATGCACATAAATGATGATTTTCCGTTTTAAACTGTTTTAAACTGTTTTTTTATGTTGTTTAAATCATTTGTTTTAAACGTTTTAAACAAAACCATGTTTGATCAATTTAGATGTTTAAAACATGTTTTAAACAAGTGTTTAAAACAAAATGTTTTAAACATCTCAACTCTGCTTGGGGGTCGTCGACATCTTTTTCGCATATTTTATTAATATATTATATTATATGAGTGTGGAACTTGTTGCATCTGCATATAATTATTATGAGTAAGGTAGAATATTGTGCGTCGTGATGGAGTGACGTAACCGTCATCTAGAGTGGCCGCCACCTCTCCCTCGAGTCTCGAGAGGATGTAAACATTTTTTTTGCTAGAAGCTTTTACTCTCATTAATAGCGGTAAGGAAACAAGAAATGTACAATGTACATAATATAGGACGATTAGGCTTCAGGTGCCTGCCACGCGTGTTTGTGTCTTGCTTAAGATAATATAACGACTACGGGATGTCGGCGATAAGAGGAAAGCACGGTGAAATAACTAATAAGTAGATCCTATATTTATTTTTCATGCAGGTAGATACCTACTCTTGAGATTCAAGTGATTCGACGAGTGTTAACAGTTATTATTCGCATTATTATTTTATTTTCTTGCTCGTCTTTATCGTATGTCCAATGTAGTATAACTATACGTTTATACAACGAAGTGCGTGTGTTGACGAAGGCAGTATTTACAGTGCCTATAGGGAAAGGTCTTTTTGTTTGATAATGATATCACTGTACACTTTGTAAAATTGTACATACAAACGGTTATCGTTCAAAAAGACACAAGAACAAACTATATATTATTATTGTTTGATGAGCACTTAGAATCGACATTTTAACATATAATATTTTACTTCAAACCGTAATCGAGTATGTATTTTTAATTATTTAATTGAAACTAAACAAATATTTCTTAAGAATTCTAATGGATAAAAAAATATTACTTTATGAATTTAATAATTAAAAATTAATTATGATTTAATTATGATTTATAAATGGTTTCAAGTATCCAATAAACACATTTTTATGAAATGTTATAAAAAATATATCATTCAAAAGAAATCCATAATATTATTTAAAGATATACTGTGTTGGATTATTATATGAAACAAAGAACTATAGTTCATAAAATGTCCTATCAATTTGAAATTTGAATATTACATATTATTATTGTACCTATGGCTCAATTGAAGTATTCAAGGTTATCCTAAGAAATATAATACATGTATTAAGTATGTAATTCAGTGCCTATATTACTCATAAAATATAATAATATGTAGGTAACTATGTAATATGTATTATATACTTATGATTTCTAAGTTCTTTAGTTATAGGTAAGTAGGTACATAGCACAAATTTATTTAAGTGACATCATAATATTATGCATTAGCGTAATATACTGTATATCAATTTATTAGTGAATTAAATTAAAAAATTTAAAAAAATTTAAAAAAATTAAAAATAATAAGTTGTGTAGCTATCATACATTACAGATATTTCTTATCTACCTATTCTATTCAAACTATAAAGATTTATTTATTATATATTGCTATATAATATACCTTATTGATACAATAATACATAGAAAAATATAAAATAAACTATTATTGTCCTACGACCTACATTATACACATTAAATATAATAAATACGAATTCCTACTTATACTAGGTGAGATATTAGGATTTAGCTTAAATGAATATTTTTGAATTCAAGTTTATCTATACGTATGACATTGAGTTATGTTACCTTCAATATCTAATTGAAGACATAATTCTCAACAGACTAAATCACCATTCAAAAGCTTAATATAATTATTATAATTATCATAACACGATTTTATTAGTTTTCAAATTCTCTTTTTTGTTTATTTGATTTTTACAATTGATAAAAAAAAACATAATAATAAATTAAATAATTTAGAGCGGTTCAACTTTAAAATTTAAGATTTAATTAAAAATTATATAACATGGACACACATGCTCTTAACAAAAACCAAAACTTTATGATTTTTTTTATAATAATCATTATTATGTATAGCTGTGTAGGGTCTGTTTGAACCAACAGTATAATATTATAGCTAGGGTTACTTGAGGGCCTTTATAGGCCCTTCTATATTATAATACATAAATATAATATTTATAAATTGTTTTGTTTTCAATTGATACCACAAAATTACTTACGGGTTTGAGTTATGTCTTAATTTTATTTTTTTATTTATTTTTTTAATATTAGTATTCAATTAGATATCGTATTTTAACATAACTATTTATAATTTCAAAGATTTGCATGATAATAGCAATTAATGTCTTATACGTATTTATGTATTATATGTGTTAAATATTTATTTTTTTTTGTCTTTACCGATGCGAGATCGACAAGCAATGTTCACTAACCACTACTTAACCTGCATATTTACATATTTCACTCCAATTCAAAAGTTATTCATTTTATTTTTTTAATCGGATTACCAAAATTATATTAGTATATTAACTATTTATCGACTGTATTGTCGTCATTCAACCAAAAGTATTGTATCCATGATTCTTGAACAAAAGAATATTTGAAAGTACAATACCCGATGAAAAATTTTGATTTTAGCTGTTTGGGTAATGTACCTACATATTATACCTAATATTAAATTATTGAACACTAATCATAGGTATCCAGTATATTATTATTCCTATTCAACGAAACTGTTTATTCACATCATTCGGGGCACAATAATCTGTCGTTTGGCTCTTTTAGTCGTCTATGAAACCATAATATAAATACTATACCTTGGTACTGCACGATTTACATGCATTAACGAAGATATTAAGATATTATATTATAATAACGACAAAACGACGCATATTGTAGGTAAACCTAATTACTACAGGCACACCTATTAATAACAACGTATATTTTCTAGCAGTTTTCAAAGTATGAAACACACAGTGAATTTGAATGGCCACGGTGCAGACGGCCACAATGGTAACGATGGAGACGGCAACGTCGGAACACAGGGGTGGCGTCGTGGCAAGGGTGGAAAAAAGCAGCTGCCGTACGACCCGTTCCAGATGCGTGACGACTCCAACTCAACCACGTGAGTATAAGCCAGATTATTATTATTGTTCGTGTGTCCCTGAATTCGTCCCTAAAATACAAAATGGTTTTCCAGTGCTACCGGTGCCTTGTTACATCTGATAAAGAGTAGTCTCGGTTCTGGCGTCCTGGCCATGCCGAATGCGTTCAAAAACGGAGGTCTTATTTTTGGCCTGTTTGGCACAGCTGCCATAGGGGCGCTGTGTGCGCACTGCATCTATCTTCTTGTGAGTATAATAACATCGCACTTTGTATGCCTATATATATATATATACGACCATTCCCATCAATTCCACCCTAAACGTGCCTGTTCGACCCTACTCACCAAACATATTATATAAATAGTGATAATCCAACATGGTACCATACGAAGCGATTTGTTCATCAATGTAAACCCCCGAGTATTCCTTTCAAATGTTTATAAAAAAAAAAAATAATCATAGCCATAATATAACGTTTAAAAACCAAAACTTTTAGACAAATATTCTGCATCAGAATAAAAAAACAAAGTTATATTAAATATCAAACCATTAATACAGTAATGGTTACATATAATAAAGTAAAAACTCATTTAGGAATACATATTTGTAGTTAATGATAGGTAATTATTAATGTATTCGAAAAAACCTTGTGTTATTTTAACTTATAATATTTGTAACCACTTCAAATGGCTTTTAAAATTTAAAAAAAAAAAAAAACTAAAATTGACACAAAACTATCACAATATGTACTGTTTTATTTACTTATTTAATTTACACTATTTAGACTCGTGTCATGAGTATGTCATATGCGTATTATCGGTCGGCAAACAAACGTATATTGTTATTTAATATTATATGATTGTTAATCAGTTAGAACAAAATTAACTTCATCGATGTTATTTACCATTTTGTTAAACTCTTTGTTTATTTTAGATTACAAGGATTGATTTTTAATTCAATTTTTAGATTCTGAGCAGAACAACGAATGTAACTATTGGTTTTACAACGATGTGTGTTGTTTTTTTTTTTGCCTGACATTAAATTTTGAATCTTAAACTTAGAGGAGTTTTTGGTATCAAATTGTATCTAATTAATACTACTTAGGTGAGGTCAAAAATATTAACAGTAGAAACTTGAAACACTACTTTCTATTAGGTACTTAAATTATAATTTCTATGCACAATGACATTTTCAAAAGGTTTATAGTAATTTAACTTAATTAAAAATTTAAAATGTATAGGTTTGTTATGTCAATAAACATTTTTATATTTGTATTAATTTATATATATTTTATATATTACTTAAAAATTGTATTACAAGTTTTATTTTTGCACTAATAGCAATTTAAAAATATTGTAAAAAACATGGACAAAATTGTTTTAGTTACACATTTTCACTTGCACCTTTTCGCCACTACGTACCTATACTCGTATATTATTTATTATTCACTATATAAGATTAATTTTTAAAAATATTTATATTCAGTCATATCTATTTATACTATGAACCTATACTCCCGCTGTTCTACTAGTGGTACGTCGTATACGTCATATAAGTTAATTATTATATAATATAATATGCTATTTTATTTTGTTAAAATTAATTCAATCTAGGTCCCGTATAAGTCATAGAAAAATAAATTACAGTAGAATGGGCTTACTTTGATTTCGCGGGTCTACTTTGATACACTTATATATTTTTATTCACAAGAGTAGGTACCATGATGATTTAATTTGTTTTCATAAAATTGGGTTACTTTTATATCACATTCAGAAATGTAGGTGTCAAAGTTGCTCACGACGTTGTGCGTAACTTTGATAGCATATTAAAAAGATTGATATTTCTGAAGATAATATCAGAAATTTAAAAAATAAAACGTTCAAAAATTGAGCATAACTAGCTGCCACAACGATTTCATTTTGAGAGTTTTATCCTTAATACCACAGAAGGTCTCCATAAAATAAAAAGGAAAATTGTCTTTAAACAGTAAAAATTTATTAAAGTAACTCCATTTTATGGTACTAAAAGCAGTATTAATATTAAAATACCTCAAAAATACAAGATGCAGATCATCTTCATTCTTCGCTCTAAATTGTTTTTTATATACAAAAATGTATAAAGTTAAAATATGAATTCTATTTTATTTTTTTAACACAATAAATTACGATGTACCCTCCACACCTACTCTACAGCAAAGATACTTAACAAGCTTTTCTATTATTTTTATTTGATACCTCAGTGTGAACAAATTATTGCTCCAAAAGTGCTTTAAAAATATTTAAAATACGGAAAACTACTACGACTTGTTTTACGAACGTAGAGTGTATAATGTGTACTTGCTTTTGTTAAGGCGTTTGGTGTGGGCAATTTAAAGACAATTAATAAAAAAAAACAAAAATGTGTTTCAAGTTACAAATTACATTATAGGTAGGTTCTCTTTAATACATTTATAATGTAAGTGGAAGTACTTCCCACTTACATCATCTACTATTTCACAATATTGTTTTTATGTATTTTTTGTTTCACGTATTAGTATAAAAAACTAATATGGAACCACGTGGCAAGTAGGTATTAAAATTTAAATGTTTTTGACTAAGCATAATTTTTTTTTATTGACATTTATAGAAATAAATTTTAATTAATCGTTAACTACTTATAAACAGCAGAGAAACAGTCAAAGTATTTTGAAAAATATACTACGTTCAATGTAGGTGCATTACAATTTTTTTGAAAATGTCAAGTATTTAAGGTTATTTATTATTATATTGCAACAAAATAAGAAAATCGAATTTTGTCGAAAATACAGTTTGAGCACCTACTTAAACATTCCGGTTTTTCTTTCATTTTTTTTTTATTTTTTTATTTTAAACATCACTGGGAATATTAAATTTTTACCTCCAAACTTAATCCACATTTTTATCAGAAAATATGTTGAAGTTGAAAATTGAATTATTTTTACTGCTCCAATAATAGGTAGTGATGAAAAACACAAACTAAAAAACACACTATTGTAAAACCAATACATTCATCACTGAACTCAGAATCTTAAGTATAAGAAGTGTTCACAAATTATGATAATAATAATATGTAAATAAAAAAAAATGTCCCCTCTATAATTTACAAATGACAACTGCGAGATATCTTTACATATAATAATTAATAATATTTGTGTACTCTTGATTTTGTCGATAATAACCATATCGACGGACGTGTAGTATTCCGGAGTTATTATACCTATTAAAGTTCAGTAACGAAGTAAAAAATTCACTAAAATTGCAACGACATTCAGCCCGACGGCCGAGTTTTTCTTTTTATGTACGCATAGTATTGTAATAATTTGTAAGGGGCTTTCAATAATTTTTTTTTAACGAATGCTACCTGTGCCGTGTGATTTCGAATGCGAACGGCCCAACACACCGCCGTGGTCTATAATTTACATAGCTCTCGGCCGTCGTTGTGACCAAAATTAATTGTTTAATTTTATGTTAATTAAAATGAAATTTAGTAAGTTAACCGTTAAGTTAAAGAAAATCCAAAAGTAACTTTTTAACTCGTTTATGCCCAGCCTTGAGTATAGGTAACCCGCGGGTTGTTGTTTCCGTCCAATATTGTATACAGCATATGAAACGTGTGTTCAGCAGAACGAATTATGTGTGGTTGACTTAAATATGTCATGGGGAGAATTTTATAACAATCCAGCTTGCCAACACCCAAACATACTTTTATTTACATTTGATAATAGGTAAATTAATTTTAACGTTAAAGCTAACAACACCAAATCGGTTCGATTGTATAAAATGTTGATATATTGTACTCTTGTAAGACGGAGCCCATACAACATAAAAATATTTCCTATGGTCAAATATTTTCAGGAAAATAATATAGTTGTCAAAATATTTTAAAAAGTTGAGTAAATAATTGTTTAGTTATATTCTTTGGCCCAAAAGTTCATAATATATTTGAAAACATTTTGTAAAAAACATTTACAAAATATTTTCATCATATATTTTCAAAAAAACATTTTTACGGAAACTTTATAAAAATATTAAGTCAACATTTTTATGCAACCATATAGTTCAATATTTTTTTATCATAGAAAGAAAATAAAATATTATTGGTCAAATATTAATTATTCGACCACTTTAAGATATTCACAAGATATTATCATTTCTCAAATGCTATGTGGGAGATAACACATGTGGATATATATATTAGGTTAGTATGCTTAATGCTTATACAGCATTTTTCGACGAACGCTAAATAGTAAATACTGATAATTGCTGACTCACTGAAAATTACAACGACATTCATCCCGACGCACAGTGGTTCAAAAATGAAAATAGTTGGCCAAAAGTCGATATTTTGAATTTGAAAATACTCAAATAAAGATAGCAAAAATATTTTCTGTAATAACCAAAGTAAATAATTATGCAAAACGAATTGCAAAATAATATTAGCAATACCAATAAAATAATAATTGAAGTGGACGAAATATAGTTTTTTTCATAATTATTATGATATTTTGTCACTAATCGTCATATAGTTTAATTTTCAACAACAAATAAAATAAAATAACTTTAAAGTATTTATCAATTTATATACGTTGGATAAAATACTAAGATAGTATTTAATGACTCAATTATGAAATAATGACTGTTATTAACCAGTATATGGCAATTGAAATGAACAATGTCATAAATAATACGATATAAAGCTATTCACTTTTAAAAACATACAAATCTAATCATGTTTTTCATCAAGTTACACGGCGATATATACACCATCATTTAGACCACGATCTACTGATTACAAAACTATCATTATTAGTTGCTCGTATTTGCGCGTTTTGTTTTAGTGAGCACTTGAAGTTGGAGAGGCTTATTTATAAGCAATATTTGATTGAATGAAAAAATCGTATTTTTTTTATGGTTTAGGAACACAAATTATAAATTTAAGTAAAATTCACTTTGTAAGAAGTGTTTCTCTTTCCAAAAAAAAAAAAAACTATCGAAATCGGTTACAGTTTTTTCTGTAAAAAGTGTTTTTGAGAAAAAAATAGGTCGCGTGGAGGCCCCTTTAAGTCGGTATACGAATACGAATTACTTTTATAATAATTATTCTGTAAGTAACAGATCATTTTATAAGATTTCTGTAAAAATTAGAATTTTGGCCAACCATTTTCATTTTTGAACCACTGTGCGACGGTCGAGTTTTTCTTTTCACTTACAAGTAGTATTGTAATCATTAATTGTAACGCTCTTTCAATAAATTATTATTAACGACGCGCCGTGTGATTTCGAATGCGAGCGACCTAACACACTACCGTGGTCTATAATTTACATAGCTCTCGGCCGTCATTGTGACATAATTTTTAATTTTTTACGGGGTTTTCGACGATTCTCTATGATAGTAAACTGTGTTGCGCGAGACGTAAAATACTTATAATGTAATATAGTTCCTCAATTTTTATCTCACTACGGGTACGATTAAGATTACATTTTAAGTATGTTGTCGCTGTTGTTATGCGTGAAATACGACGGTACAATGATATTGTGTCGAATATAGTCATATGGACAATAATATTATTGTAATAGTCGTCCAGGAGTTATTATTTCGTTATAATTTATAATAGTATATTACGTATTTCTATTTTTCCAGGTGGTGTGCTCGCAATCACTGGCCCGTCGCACACGGCGTCCGGCCCTCGGTTTCGCCGACACAGCGTACGAGGCATTTAAGACAGGCCCGCACCGGTTTCGCGCCTGGGCCGCGTTCGCCAGGTATGACGATGGATTATTATAATAATATTATTGTTGTTGCATAATTAAATTATTGTCAACGCTGAGCGCTATAACGATTGCACTATAGCGGATATAACTTAGCATAAATCTGACCTTCTGGTTATTCCAAGAAAAAAATAATTATTATTATTATTCGACGGCTGGTAGTAGATGAAAATAATATTCTTTGTGTATATACCAGGCTTGTGTCACCAAACTGAAGCCATACCGTATAATATTATAAATGGTAAATGTTTGGACACCCCCCATATACAGCATAAAAATATTTCCTAACTATGGTAAAAATATTTTCAGTAAAATAATATAGTTGTCAAAATATTTTAAAAGGTTGAGTAAATAATTAAGAAATATTCTAGTTATATTCTTTGGCCAAAATTTCATAATATATTTGAAAATATTTTATAAAAAATATTTACAAAATATTTTAATCATATATTTTCAAAAAACATTTTTACGGAAGCATTATAAAAATATTAAGTCGAAATTTTTATGCAATCATATCCCTAGTACAATATTTTTTTATCATAAGAAGAAAATATTTATAAAATATCATTAGTCAAATCTTCATTATTCAACCACTTTAAGACATTCACAAAATATTATAATTTCCCAAATGCTGTGTGGGGCTTCTGAGATGCACAGTCGTCTAAGTACTTTTGTGGCTAAAACGATATGCTCTTAAAATGCGCGCATTTAAAAAAAAATGTCTTTTTTGAATGAAACAATTTCAACATTTTCATTTTAAAAATTATTCAATGTTTCTTTCTACAATTCAAATTATGCTGTGTTAGCCTTATGAGTGTAAACATTTCACTTTAGATCGACGTGTTTTCCCGTACCGTTTGGCAATAATATATTAAAAGGGAATGTGAAGAATAATTATTATTAAAGGGTTACGCATAGGCAAATTTATTTTTATATATATGCTTCATATAATATGTGTGAGATGTAACCATATAAGTGTGTTGAATGTATAAATGATTATACAATATAGGTACCTATATAGCAACAATATTATTAAATACTCGTGAATGTACATTCAGCTTAAGAGATTGCTGTTTTTTGCATAACCAAATATCATACATCAAATTATGGCAGATTATTTTATTCCAACTAACTTAGCTGATTATATAATAGGTAAATGCCAGAAATAATTCTGAGAACAGATTTGAATTCACTATAAGAAGTTAACGCGTACCTATAATATGTAATATGGTTGTGTAACTTCTATATATCTAATCCAAATGCCTATTTAAACCAATAACTCTTAATCAATAATAGAATGAACATTTTGAATTTTTCATTTTTGTAAAGTTCTAATTATTATAGTGATTGGACATAGACAGTGGCGCCGAACTCAATTTAAAATGGGGTGGCAAACTAGTAAAAATTTACCAAACACCCACCCACCCAGAACCGTTAAATTAAGCGGGCATTCTTAGGTCATACCTCAACGTTAACTTCAGACATTATAGTCATGTAAAATAATTTAGTTTTTGTCAGTTATTCATAAATACTAGTCTACGGTAGTGAACATTAAGCACAAAATAAATTTTTAAAAAATATATAAATACCCATGAAAATGTTTGTATTTGTTCTCGATTACTTTTTCTAAAAAGTGTTACAACAACTCTTGTATGGATGTATTAGGTTCTCTGTTAACTTTTAATGTAATTTTGGCTCGACTAGTTTTGTTACCACATGTATTTAATTTTAATTTAAAATATTTTTTTTAGATTCTGAGTGAAACGATGAATGTATTGATTTACAATGATGTGTGTTTTTTTTTTAATTCTTAATTTTTTTTTTGTGTCTCATCACTATTTAGGACAGTAAAAGTGCTTGGATTTTCTTCAACAGTAGCTTTTCTGATAGGAAAGTGACTCTAGTTGGTACTTTGGGTAATCAAAAGTAAAAATTTCTCAGTAGTTTTCACAAGCGCCGGGAAAAACAACATAAAAATTAAGGAAAAACGGGAATTAAATAAACGTATATACATGAAATTTTCACTGGTTGTTTATATTTGCATTTTATATACACGATAACATTTTCAAAATATTTTGATTTATTTTGAACTGTTTAGGGGCATTTTCATTTTACCTTTTTTTTAGTTTTTTTTCTAAAAATATCAATAAAATTTTATTTGTTGGTTGCGAAAGGTTGAAAATTTAATAGAAGGCTACTAGTATATTGTTTCAAAGGCAGATGAAAAATATTAAAAATCCTTAGTCGCAATTTTTTTTATAAGCATTTAAAGTTCAAAAATTGACAAAATATGGAAAAATCACGAAAATTAGCAAATTATTTTGAGTTAAGAATTCGTAAAAATTTTTCTTTTTAAATCTAAGATGTGAAAATGTAATAGAAGATTCCTTATAAGATTATATACCTTTATCAAAAAAAAAATGTCTATAAGAAAGTCAAATTAAATTTTTATGAGCGTTTGAAATTCAAATTTTTACAACATTGGATATTCACTCGATTTCTCATGTAGCGATTTCCTTATTGTGTTGTAATTCAAAAACGAATAATTGTAGATACATGAAAATTTCACTGAATGTTTAAATTAGCATTTCCTATACACCATACAATTTTGAAAATATTTTGACTCTTTTTGAGCTATTTACGGACATTTACCGCTTTCAATTTTCTTTAGTTTTTTTTTCTATAAATATCAATTAAGTTTTGTCTGTTGGGCCAAAAAGTGTAAAAATTTAATACAAGGCTCCTGATATATTATTACAATAGCAGTTGAAAAATATTAAAAATACATAAACATGGTTTTTTTTCTAAGCATTTAAAGATCGAATTTTGACAAAATTTAACAAATTTAAAATTAAATAATTATTTTGTAGTTAAAAATGTATAAAATGTTCAACTTTTATATCTAAGGATTGAAAATTTAAAACAAGATTCCACCTAAGTAGTAAATTCTGTTACCAAAAAATCTAAAAAATACATAAGTACAGTTAATTTTTATAGTCATTTTAAGTTCAACTTTTGACAAAATTACATAAAAAAAAACCTAGAATAACTATTTTAGTTATTTTGTTGTGATTGTGTAATATTATTCGTGGGTACTTGAAACTTTTAAAGTACACTATTATATATCTATGGAGTATGGACTATGATAGTATCAGGGTTTGTTGTTGACGTATAACGCATTATAAGTACCTAATGAGTAATGGATATTATGATATGATTGATTTGGAATTTATGATAGGTACCTATTTTAGGTAAATTTTTTTTTGATACGATAGATAAGTATATAATATTCCTTATACCTAGACTGACATAATACCGTCTTCACTCAGAATCGTTTTTCTTATATAATGATATTATATCATTGAATTAAAATTTAATACTATCCATTATACAGTGACCTACTTGTAACCTACTGTACAGCAGAGCACCTTTTTATAATTTTATATCAATATAATTATTATATCATTATTGGGTTTTACAGGAAAAAAGTTGGCTAAAATAGCCACTTCACAGTACTAAAAACCACTAACTGATAATGTAAAAATAATAGATAACACAATTTAAACTGTTCACTATACGTCTATAGTGAATAGGTACGTCTATATACTACCTACTTCATTAATACACAGGAATACACGGTGTATAGACGTTACAGTCGTTACACTTTTGATTCCAAGTACCTACTAATTTACTATCGAACACTCAGTATCTAGCCGTCAAATTTCTTCTGTTAGATATTTGCCCACCTGCATAACAGGACCCACCACCCACCCATTTAAAAGGGGTGGCGGTCGCCACCCTTACTATATAGGTTCGGCGCCACTGGACATAGACATTATATTTTATTGAATTGTCAGGTCGTTTACAGTATTGACAATTTTAAGAATATTAATATACAATTTCACACATATATTTAATATTTCACTGTAAAAAAGTAAAGTCTACATTCATTATTTTTAAATTTCAACAAAGCAATAGACAAAAAAATAAATTTCATTGTTTTTTTCAAAATTAAATATATTAGCATATTGTATTATAATTTTTTGATTGTTACTCCTTTTGCATAGTGAAATGTATATTTCTTAAATATACCAGCTGGTTCGATAAAGTTGTACTTTTTAAAATAGAAAAAAATTAACCAGGCAAGTTACAGCCTAACAACTACAATAAATTTTTAAAGTAAAAAACATTACAACTGGACGAATGTTTGAATAAAAATATTTTTTAATCTTATTGCTTGACCTATGTACCTACAATATATTTTCAATTATAGAAAATACACAATAGGTACTGCAAATTGCAATCTCCTTACATTTTTTTTTTTTTTTTATGTCCGGTGTCTTTACAACACACATTGTCATGTCACTGTTGATTTAACCATCTGCAAAAACATCATAATAAAGAGGGTTTGTTAACGCTGCACTATTTTGCACGTACTATTTCGGCAACTGTGTGTACGTCATACTCGTCTCGGCGTCGTTCAAACAGGTATGACCACTGTACAATGTACATGTGTATGTACAGTGTACATACACATGAAACGATTTTCGTCCTATTTTCACTTTGAATTTTTTTCAGGTCGCAGACAACCACACGCCTGAAGAGTGGCACTTCTCCATCCGTACCTGGATCTTGAGTCTAGCCTTGCCGATTCTTCCTCTCGGCATCGTTCGTTCACTAAGGGTGCTGGTTCCTTTCTCGGCCGTGGCTACGACATTTATACTGGTCGGTTTGGGTTGCTCCATGGCCTGGGTGGTGATCGGTGTCAGTCCGTTTTCCAGCAAAGAAGCTGTGCTGGCAGCCGTACCACTGCCCGATATGGCGTCTCGACCCTGGGTAGGCACCATCGCTCACATGCCGCTGTTCTTTGCAACCGTTGTCTTCGCCATGGAGGGTATCGGCACCGTATGTATTATATTTCAGACGGTCTAAATTCCTGTGCCACCGCTCCACTAGCAATAACAATTGTCTATGACTTAGGTTCTACCGATTGAGAATTCGATGCGCCATCCAGAACATTTCCTCAGGGCCCGTCCGTGTGGAGTGTTGAATGCCGCCATGACGCTGGTCGTATTTTTGTACTCGATGGCCGGCTTCCTTGGATACTTGCGTTTCGGCAATTCCACTGAGGGTTCGATCACGCTCAATCTACCCAATGATTTGTATGTATTTTTAGTACCGTAATTAGTATAATCAGTAATCACTAGGGCTCGGGAGTTATATAGGAGCTAAAAATGGAAAAATATGCATGTAAATGTGCACGAAAAATTGCAAAATATCCATGAACTACAATATTTAAAATATGGAGGAAAACCATATGGCATTTTCACATTTTATTGAACTGAAAAAAATAATTAAAAAAATATATTCGAAAATGTCGTACTTAGGAATACCTAATAGTTTGATAGAGATTAAATGAGCATTATTGCTCCGTTTTTGTTAAATGAATAGTCAACTCCGACGATAACAATACATACCTATACCTACATTAATATTCAATATTATTATTGAAATACACAGCTTAAGTAAAAATAGATCAATTTTTTTTAGAAAATATTAAATTTGCATAATATTCGTATGAAAATCAAGAAATATACATTTTTTTCCTAAAACTGAAAAATATGCATATTACATTTTCGATTTTTAAGTTGACCATATACCATATAACTCAGGTTTTCTAGCTTGGTCTGCTATAAATCGAGAGCATATATAGAATAATATTTAACTCATATAACTTCTGAGCCCTAGTAATCACCAATTAATACAGCTATAGAGATAGTCAAGTATTAGTGACAGTATTAATAATTTGTAATTTTCTTGGTCATCTCAAATTATAGATTTGCTGAGACGGTTAAGATCATGGTCACACTATCGATACTCTTCTCATACGGTTTGCAGTTTTGTGTCCCCAGTGAAATCGTTTGGGCACGCTTGAGGCCCTGGCTACGGAAACGCAAATGGGATGCCAAGTATTCACTTCCTACGACAGACAAAGATACTTCCACTATGGCTGTGAGCACCATTGCTGGTAGTATAGTGACCATGACCACGGTCACTTCAACAATGAATCATACCACGAACGACGAGAAGAAACAGACTGAAGTAGATGAACTGGATGACCAAGAAAAGTTTGTGGAGTGGGAGTACTACGTCATGCGGGCTCTAATGATCCTGGGAACCTGTACAGTACCATATTATTATATTGATACAATGTCGTTTTAGTGTAGGTATACTTACATTTATTTGTTATATTTATTACAGTTGGTATTGCCGCCATCGTACCCAACCTTGCCCCCATCATCTCTTTATTTGGGGCAGTGTTCTTCTCCATCCTGGGACTTATGTGTCCAGCTGTAATACATCTGGTTGCATTTTGGGAATATAACAACGGAAATGAAAATTGTGAAAATTACGAGGACTCGGATTCAGAAAACGATTTAAGATTTGACGGTGTCGATAACTATGCGATGTTTGACGATATGGGTATAGAATGTGGTAATAATTCACAGCGACAACAGCAAAGGAGAATGAACAATGTTGAATCTAGTACCAAAAATAAGGGCATGAGCAGACTTACGGCCGCCAAAGACGTGGCCATCGCTTTACTCGCTATATTTGCCATGGTCTCTGGGGCATATGCGTCTTTAGTAGACATATTTCAATCTTACGGATTCAGTAAAGAGCACACTTTAAATTCTACCATTGAAGTGATAACGACTACTATAGGCCCGGGGCCGGAGTCAGCGTTCCTGTTGATACAATAAATTAATTTATTGATAGGTATGCTTAAACACCACCGCTGAATCGACCCATGCTTTTAATACACCATTCAAATACCTGGTGAGATGTTGTAAAGTCACCTCCACGCCACTTGGTATATTATGTAAACTATATGAGTGTTACCATAATTATTGATTTCACTCTCATAGTTTCCCTTTGTGTTTAATTTATTTTGGACATAAATATAATATCATAATTTTCTTCCTAACGGTCTGTTGTCATAATATAATAATTATAGTAGGTAGGTGTTGTTATTGACTGATGCTATCTGTCTTAGACCTATTTATGTTTGTTTTAATTGAAAGTTTGTTATATTTTTATTTTATTTTATCAGCTGTCAAGTGTGCTTTTATACATGAGCGTTGACAATGAAAAAATGTACTGCATAATTTAAAATATCTTAGTACCTATTTATTATTGTCATTTTTATTTCTAAATTATTATATTATACTACTAATTCACATTTACACTGTTATAATAATATGTTACCAATTTTATAAGACATTTTTTTAAAAATATGTTTTGAATTTCATCAGTTGCTACTTGTCAAATAATTGAAATCAATATACATATATTTTATTTTTATAAAATGATGAAAATGCCAAATGATTGGTGTGAATTTATAATATACCTAATTTATATGAGTTTTTTGTTCGAAATACATCAATTGTTTTTTAAATATTATCCTACAATTATTCATTTATGCAGTTTCATTGTAGGTACCTATTTTTTACACTCTCACACCAATCTTGAAAAAATTAGTGTGAGAGTGTATTCAAGCATAATTTATACATATTACATGTACGATGTACCTACATACCTAATTAAATAACTCCATGGTATTTTAGTACCTAGTTATACTTATTTATTAGCTGTTTATCTAGAAAACCTGTACTTATAAACCTATTTTATAGTTGTAACTTGTAAGTACATTGTACCTACTATAAAACGTTAGTGAAAAAGTTGCTCCAGCATTTTTTAATAAGCACATAATATTTTGTGAATTGCATTGTTATACTAGGCTGAATAGATAATTGATAAATAAGTACACTCCCTATTAAACTCAGTTTTTCGAAACAGACTTTTAGAAAAAACGGTTAAAACCTTGGTTTTTTATTTTTCAACACCCTAACCGCAACATAAACTAAAATCTTTCAAACCTGCAGTGCAAGGTCACTATTGGTATGCAGTATAATATAGTCAGTGTAATCAGAGTTCTTTATACATAATTAAATTATGATAAATCTATTAAATAAATGTTAAATAGTATACATAAAAAAAAACTGAAATCGCAGTTGTTAATGTTGATATAGAAGCGAGATTAAGTTCTGATGTAGCTCCCCAAGTCACAACGACAGTATTGTGATATTCTTCATATAGAATACCTACCAGTTATCACCATATTACATCCTCTGTGTACCAAAGTGTTTACATAAAAGCATACCATATAAAGATATTCAAACATTAGGTTGAAACATCAATATATATTATATACACCGATATATTTTTATGCAAGATTTAAATTTATTTTTAGAATGTATTAATAATCTGTTATAAAATTAAATTCTAAATCAAATAATAAGAAATAGGTAGGTGTACATGTGTAACTTGCAACCAAAAATTATAATAAAGTATATTGGTGTAATAAAATAATACATAGGTATAGCCGTATAGGTACCATTATATGTATAATGCATAAATCTAAATCGCATTGTGTAACGTGTGGACTATACACTGTAGAAGTAGGTAGGTATAATATTATACATAATACGTCATATAATTATTTAAATGTGTATACTATTTTAATATTTATGGCTCACATTTATAACCACTTGTGTTTCTAAATCATGCTGTGTAGCGACTAGCGATACTACTGCAGTGGTCTATTATGATCATATTATGCATTATAAAAGAAGAAATATGGTAACGATTTTTAAGGTGTTCAATAATGGGAACTACAAAATCTTATGAACAATGAACACTGAAGAACAAATAGAATTTAATATTTACATACTTAAAAAAAATACACAGGCGAGCCACCAATTGACCCATTTTAGTATAAATATAATGACTATTGCGTAATCACAAAATGTATTCATGAATATATTTTAGAATTTCATTGACTGTTACAGTTATGGTAACAGTTGACGTGATGAAATAGAATAGGTAGTTGATTAGCTATACAATTTACAATTTTGAGATTTTTCTAATTTTTTTTAATTAGCATAATATTTGGTATAAAATATTCAGGTATTTAAATTTAATGTAAAAACTGTAAGTATTAAAATAAAAACATTACCTATTATTTGTGAACAATTTTAATTTCTCCAAAATGCTGACTAAAATGCCCAAAAATGTTTAACTTAAATTGTTTAGTCTCGTTAACATGTACATTGAATTTATTCCATGCATGATTATGATTTATTAAAATATCTATACATTTTGCCAATTTTTGGGTTGTACCAAATGATTTTGTTTGTTATTTTACGTTTATATTGCAATCTTCTGCAATATGCAAAAACGTACCATTGCTGTCAAGTGCCAATAAAATGCGAAAAATACGACTACGATTCGCTAGTGTGCGTGTGTTCGAAAATATTCTAAAAGCACGTCGTCTTTCGTTTAGCCGTGACCTCGGAATACGATGTAGCAGTGGTATAGTGTGGTGGGAGGATCAGGAGAAATCCGGTTACTTCCACTGTCGCCTCCGCCGATATGTCAAAACGAAGACTTTTTGCCGATCCGAAGACGACAATTAATAAACTTGACTACTTGAGTCGTGGAATTAGTTGTATTAATAATTATTAGAGGTGGTGCTGGACGTGCTGGTACTCGTAAAAAATACGAACAAAATATCTAAGTCGTTCAAAGAACGCTATACCAGGTACCTAGTACCTACCAGTTGCTCACGAATAGCGCCCCACTCTTATCTTAAAATAAAGAGAGCACGAATTGAGATCCAAGTTGAATTTTAAATATATTTTTGTTAGTGTTTTCCAGTCTGATTATTAACGTTATAAATACATTTTTATTTGAATACTTAGTATTACAACACAGGGTCGGACTGGCCAATATAACCGACTAGCCATAGCCAGTAAGGCCCCCTTGTGTGTATGACTATATGGGGCCCCATCTAATGAACGGAAAAAATCATAAGTATAAAATATATGAACTGTACATTTATAAAATATATTATATTTGTTTAATAATAATCAAACATAAAAAAACAGTGTAGTTTAGACGGACAAAACATGTTCGTGACGTCTCAACAGTCAACGTTTCTGTTATCGTCTCATCGATGCCAATTAAAAATAATAATATATATGATTGATCAATATTGGAATTTTAGAGGTATTTATTTTTAGAACTGAAAACCTATTCTTATTGCTTTGAGGAATACTTCAATCAGTAGGTACACAATGATAGATATATTTCCTTGATTTATAAAAATATAAAAATTGTATTAAAAATGATATTGTTATTTCAATATTAATTGTTTATATTGTGTCTTAACAATTAACACAATGTGTTTGATTCTATAGGTACATACTATTCTATAAAGCCTTCTACATTTTCCTCCTTGTCTTAAATTAATAAATAACATTTTTAACAATTATCAAAATAGGTAGTTACCAAAAATTTTGATAATTTATTATAATCGATCTCTAAAATATACTATAAAATAAATTGTAAATAAATTTAACTAAAGAAAACAGTAAATAAAGATAAATATGGTGTTTTGAGTAACAATTGTAAATTATAAAGTTTATTTATGATCATTTTTTGTGAAAAAAATTTATCAAATTTACAAGAGAGTTATTATTTATCACTATTGTTGACTGTTGAGGCCCTTTCTATAAGTAAACTGCCGGTGGGGCCCTTAGTACCCAGTCCGACTCTGTTACAACATTATTATAACCTAATAGGTTCTTAAAAGTTAAAAATATTAATACATATTTAACATTTTTAATATTATATTTTGAATATTTTTTTGTGGTTTATATGGTCAGTAAAAATATTACAGACTAGACTTCCCGATCGATAAGTAACTAAACTATAATAATATTATGCTCACACGCAGTTACACCTCTGCAGTGTCAACAATTATTTCATAAGTATTGTAATAATGTAATTTATTGACTGTTACTTTTGATTAGTATACTACCATGTATGAATATTATGATTTACACGATAATATTAATTGTAAATTGTATTAGTAAATCTTACTTTAAGAACCACGTATTAACTGAAGGTGAAAAATAAACCATAAAACATTTTTATTTCGTTCCAAAAGGTATGTATTTAATGTTTACCTGTCTATTTATCTTCAATTCGTGGATGTAGAATTATTAGGTATAGGCAAGGCTGGGCAAGTTAATGATTTTTTCAGTTAAGTTAATCCGCACCAATAACACAAAGTTAAAAGTTAATACACACTTTTGGTTATCTTTTATTAAGTTAAAAAAAATTTATTTATTTATACAACGCTACCGTACTTAATTTTTTACATACTTTATACAGTATTTCCATATAATTATATATTATATGTTATTAATTATATATGTATATATAACTTAAGTTAGATTAGAATAATATACATTTTTTAACTTTAAAAAATTCACGGTAAATATTGTTTGCCATGAAAACGAAATAGACTTAAATAGTGAAATATAATAAAATAAAAAACAAAATAAGTTAACTTAACTTATTTCTTAAAATGAAAAATTAATGGGTTAGTTTCAAGTTAAATTAAAAAGAAATTTACTAAGTTAACAGTTAAGTTAAAGAAAATCCAAAAGTAACTTTTTAACTCGTTAATGGCCAGCCTTGGCAAGTGTTTGGTAAGTTCCTTATAAAAAGGAATTCGTTCATTTCCTCGTTCTTTTTTTAAAAAAAAAGGGGATTCGTTCCGTTCCTTGTTCCTTAAAAAAAAAAGGAATTCGTTCCTTTATTGTTCCTTTGGAAAATGAACGAATTTAGTTCCAAATACAAAAAAAATCCTATAAATATTTTTTAATTATTATATATATTATCTACAAGTAGGTACCTAAATATTTTATAATTTTAGTTTGAGATTTTCTTCAAAATTAAATTGTTGCCGACTTATGTCTTATCGTTTTATCGTTTATCTTTATAATAATAAGAATTATATTTAATAAGGACAGGTACTCATTTCTATATAAACTACCTATAACTTATAACTTTAAGAAATATTAATAAAGTGCAGACTAATGACTAACGATGAACGTCGATACTCGATACGATCACAAATTGGCAATATTCATACTACACATTAGAAAAAAAAATTTATCTTAATTTCAATTATTTACATATTTGTGTAAACTATTAGAACTAGAAAGGACCGAAAAATGTTGTTATTTTTCTTTGAAAAAAAAGAACTCGTCCATTTTCTCGTTCTTTTTTTATAAAAAATAATTCGTTCCAGAAATTCGTTCCTTCCAAACACTTTGTATAGGTAACCCAGGGTGGTGTTTCCGTCCAATATCGTAAATATACATAACATAATATAACATAATATACAATTTGTGTTGAATGCAGAACGAATTATGCATGGTTGACTTAAATATTACATGCGGGGGAGAGTTTTATAACAAACCCGCCTGCCAACACCAAAACATACCTTTAGGTACATTTGATAATAGGTCAATTCATTTTAACGTTAAAGCAAAAAAAACATCAAATCGGTTCGGTTGTACAAAATGTTTATATATCGTACTCTTGTAAGACGAACACAACACATGTGATTATAGCGTCATCTTAGGTTGGTATGTGTAATGTGTATACAGCATTCTTCGACGAGTGCTAAATACTGATAATTTGCTTATTGCAATTTTTTTTCGTGTGTAGGTTCGAGATGTTCTATACATCGACCTATCGTATGACGTCGATGTTGAAATATAATAACGAGAACGAACCAAATTTTTAGTGAAAATTATAAATGTATTGGAAATAATATAGTGTCAATGAAGTTAATATTTTTTCAAAAGAATTACTGCAATAATGACTGTAAGGAAACATGGTTTTTTGATAATATTAATAATTATTGCATTGTTCCTCATTCTATATTCACTATACAAATTTAGTTGGCTTATTTGACGATTTTTATGGGTTACTTGGGGCCATGACCACGCACATTATATTTCGTAAAAAAATATAGGTAATATACCTATTGCAGTGTGCAACATTGCCAAGTTACATTACTATTCGTAGTTCGTACAAAAGCTATAATATGATTTATATAAAACTATTGTATTATAAGTGGGCCCCAATTTTGTCAGGAAAACTGCCAACTGGTCTATACCTGTTTGGGTGCCAAAATCAATTAAATTGCGCTATCAGATACATGACTAATATATTATGACTAATATATATATTATACATATAACATAAAACAACTTCCTAAATGTTATATTATTTGTTCTAGTTATTGTATATATGTATGTGTTATGCACTATTTTTGTTTAAGGCTCAGACCGTCAAATCTTAATACATAGGTACATAAATAAATTATATGAATATACTAGCTGATTCCATGTACTTTGTTACCTATTGAAAATGCCAACTCTATATTATGAATAATATGTTTTACATATTACCATAATAACCATTTATGTACAAAAAGTTCCATCGGAAATCTCAAAATAATATATAATTGGTATGGCCATGGTAATAGGAACACACAGACAGACAGACATACATTAATTTTTATATAATATAATATAATATATTATATAGATAATATTAGGTATAACATATTATATGCATATTTTTTCGTATAGGTATTGTAATTTGTAAAATACCACAAATCAAAATACATTGTCGGAAAAAATTAATTTTGTCACTAACTGCAAAACAAATAATATGCAAACGTACCTACCTAAATTGTCAACTTTGTTTTTATTATATTTTCAACGGGTACCCGTACCCGTACCTTAGGTATACTTACCTAAATACGTAAATGTATTGGTGTTTAACTAATCGATTTGTCAGTATACAGTCGTATATTAATGTAAAATGCCAAAATATAATATATAACACGCGTATTATATATTATGTCGTAGACTATATAGACATGTGCGATAAATGTTGTATATCAGTACACAAAGTGAAAAAAATTACACGATGTTAAATTGGAGTGAGCACTTTATGAAAAAATGACCATTTCGTGAAATATTTTCGAATATCATTAAGTGTAAAATATTCGTTTCCATTTCATGAAAAGTTCGATTCCACGAAGTGGCTACGACATATATATTATATATATTATTTATATTATAATATTATATATCTAGTAAATCATCGAATGGGGAAAATTGATAAGATTTATATAGCCAATGCGATTATTTTTGTCGTATATCCATGTAATGGCTAAATCAACTTTCTTAGCGCGCGATGACCGATAAATTTGGCACGGGAGAAATACGCAAAGATCAGTCGGCCGCTCGACGATTATATTATTGAGTTTATATAATATTGCGAAGTGAAAAAAACCCAATGAAAATTTGCAATATTAGCACTGTAGTTGCTGCTGCCTTCCGTCGCGAAACCGCGCGAATAGAAAGCGACGACGTCGACGGCGGCGGCGAATAGTTTGCGACGACGGTACGGCGAGGGTCGGTGGAAAAGTAGTTTTCTCGACCAGCGCCGCCGCCTTCGGTTAAGAATGTTCCCCTCTCGCCGCAGCCGTCGCCACCACCACCTCTCACTAACAACCAATCGCCTACAAGTTATTATATACCAGTATATCGGCTCATGATATCGGCACCGTTGCCGTAGCACAAACTCGCAATGCTCAGTAGAGCAATAGCAGTTTCACACGTACGCACGGAAACGATTGACTCTACGCATGTGCTTCAGCCTCATTTCCTGTACCGTCTCAAAAATCATAAGTCAAAACTATTACCGGGACAGCGACAGTGTCAGGTGTAATTGTGTATATCCGTGAAAATATTGGACATAATTACAGTTTACGTGACTACGCTACTTCGGTCGTACGACTTCAAGACATTTTGGCGGCGGAGACGTTCCGCCTACGACGACGATAGAGACGACCATCAACGTAAGTATATTTCATGATTTGCAAATTATTATTTATTGCGCATACGATGTATATGCTTACGCATATAACATCATTGGGTATATTATATCGTACAATATATATTAAACTCAATGATAATAATATTACCTATAATATAGAGGTATAGGTAGGCGAAAAAATACGCAACGATTTGGCAAATATTTGCGAAGGCGATTTCATTAACAGTCCCATATATACATAGTTTTATATTATTCAATTTCCACATGTGCATATTATTATTAGATATTATAATGTTTAGTATTTACGATACCTATATACCTATAATATTATTATACGTTCGGAGGAGACTTGAACGCGCGCTCGTCACCCAATGAGATTCGGGAGAGGTAATCATCAATAATATCAAATAACATTTAAAAAAAAAGAATTTTACGTAAAAATCGCACAGTTTTACCTCAGGCACCACCGATTAAATATATTAATATAAATATAATTGAGTGTGGACGGACACGTCATCTCCTCAGTGGCAATGGCTCTCTCTTATTCACCACCACCGCCACAGCCACACAACTTCCTTAAACCCCGTCTATATACCCTGATTATATATTTCTCGCCAATGCACGTGCACCTCAGTTATCCGCCGGCGACGCGTATTATGTGAGGGCTGTGTGCACTTCGTATAGTATATACATACACGCGTCAAGTGCGTTCGTGTGTGTTATTATAAGCACGCTGTATACACAGCTTCCGCACGCACACGCGAAAAATATGTTGCGGCGGTGTCTGCACACTCTCTCCTCGGCAGTCGTCGCCGCCGCCGTAATAGTAAGTTATAAGTATAGCGCTGTCGTCGCTGCTGTGGAAAAGAGAGAGCAGCTCATGGCGGCGGCAAAAATCTATGTCACTAAACCGCCGCCGCCGCATTTCCCACACGCACGCACGCGCAGCGGCTATATATCTGCACGTCGACTTGGACGAATAAAAGAAATTTGACGGCGGCGGCGCGCCTTCAGTACACCCCCTCTTCCTCTTCTTCCACCACCATAACCTCCTCCATCGAGCAAACGAACGAACGAACGACTAGGACGACGACTCGTATGCGAGTGATCCATACATTATATTATATTGTGATATTATTACATATTATAAATTGGCTTTTCAAGAGCCCTCCTCGTGCGCAATATAATTATAATATTATGTAATATAGTAATATATTATGTTCGTTAATTTGTATTAATAATATTAAGAATTGGTTTTTTTTCCTCTGCAGTTTTCGTGGTGGCGTTTTTGTCAGTGTTTGACAATTACGACAAACATCGCGCCCCCGCTATGATTCACAGCGGCGGCGCCGATTGTTATACCAGTACCACGGCAACCACGACGAATACTGGTAATCCGACGACCCTGATGATGGCAAATATACAACAACAACAACAACTAATACAACAACAACAGCAGCAGCAACATCAACAGCAAACTGCTGCAGATGCCCCTACGGATTTCTGGTGGTGGTCGACGACGGCCCAGCAACACGCCGACGACGGTGGTGCGGTATCCGGGCACCAACACCAGCAAATATCGTCTTCGTCGTCCCAACAGCAACAGCACAACCAAACGATGGACGGAGACGAGTTTGACGGTTTCGACTTGTCACTGCTAATAAACGGTGCAAGCGACGGATACTTCAGCGACGCCTCGTCGGCCGACTGTCGTGTGCCCGGGAATGCTATTTCCGCGACGGTTACCGTGCACACCAACACGTCCATGGACGTCGGTGGTGGCGATGGCAACTGTTACTACTCGACACCCGCGACGTCGACGTCACTGCAACAGCAATTGGAGCTACAGCAACTTCTGTCCATATACGATGACATATGTTCCTTAGAAGATGCGAAATCCATTTTCCATCAGCAGCCTCCGGTGGCTCCTGCCGTGGTGTCTACCACGACCGCCGGTGTCCGTCAATCCAAAACCCCCGTGCCAGTCACCCCAGCCGGCCAGCTCGTCAACGCGTCGACAACGATGACGGACACCACCGCCGCCGCCAAGGACCGCGCCGGCAAGACCACTCTGTTGAGATCGCTATTGACAGCCACAGCGCCGCAGCCCTCAATACCGCTGTCGCCCACACGCCCGGCTGACTCGCCACCAGCGGCCGTAGTCGAATCCACCACGGAAGTGGCAACGACTACGACGACAATCAAACACGAGGTCGTCTCTCCAAACAGCCACAACAAAAGCAACAACAACAACAAACACCGACTGCTGATCGAAATGTTACGTGGTAGCAACACGGACGACGATGTCGTCCCGACGGCTCCGACGGTGCGGCCCGCGCGCCGTAGACCACGCACCGTGACTATCGGTTCCGATGATGAAGGCGGCCCGCCCCAAGGCATCAGACGCCGACTGGACGCGCCGCCGTCTCTACAACTGGACGGCGGACAGGCGTCCAAGCAGGACGTCGCGGACGACGACGAACTTCTGTTATACGGCGGCCCTTATTATTCCGCCGCGACGTCGCCGTCGTGGCTGGACCGCATGGTGGCGGCGGCTGCCGCTGCGACAACGGGCGCCAGCAATGCCGATTTTTATTCATACGCCACAGACACCGCAGCAGACCAACCGGCGCTGCATCAAGATCTCTACCGTCGACGACAACAACAACAACAACCACCGCAGGAGCAGCAGCAGCAGCAGAACGGCGACCGTGCAGTGGACATCGTTAACATCGTGGACGACTGCTGCAGCGTCAGCGATTATTGCAACAGCTACGGCATCGGTGGCAGTGGCGGCTTCGACCAAGGCTACTACTCCGTTGCTTCGGCCGAAGTTGCGTACAGTCCACAGACTTCGGCTCCAGTGCCATCCGTCACGCCACCACCATCGTCGTGTGGCGACCCATCGACGACGAGCACGGTAAATATGATACAATAATATTGTAACATAATTTGTGCACATTATATATTATTATATAGGTATTATAAATATTTTGAGTCTGGCGCGATTTAATTTCCACACGTTGACTTTGTGATCGCTTACGTAGTACGATATCGTTATTTATATAGGCTGTTTATGCAAATGAGTTACTGAATAATACTCGAGAGTGACTTTAATTCCCGTCGTAACGAAACCCATGTTGTTACTATAGTAGTATAGTACTATACATTGAAACTTCAATATTTTACGAATTCTCAACTAAATTTATACGTCTGTGTTATTCGAATATATTCTATAAAGATTTTCGTTAGGTAAATGGAATTCAATAAATTCGGTTCTGCTCTTGTTATGGTACTTAAAAATATTTCAGACAATTTCGTTGAATAGAATGCGAGTTTCGCACTATTATCTGGAACCTCCCACCACATGCTGTGGGTCAGGCTATACTTTTGTGTGACTCGCCGAGGGTCGTTACCCCATAATGGTTTTGTATTTGATATTTATGATCGGCTTAATATTCTGAGTTGCTATATTATATTATACTTGATCGGCTTGGCGGGGTCGGGAAGGGGCGTAACGTGCTCGCAGTTTTTGTTGCCAGACAAGTATACTTACGATAAAAGGAAAAAAAAACGAAACGAAAAAAAATAGCTCGAACCTACGACGACATGACGTAACTTTAATAATATTATAATATCGTAGTCTCAGAGCTCTACAAGACAATTAGGTGCGGCGATTGCGAGCTGAGGAAACGCCCGGGCGCGGCCCACATTCCATCGCCGCGGTGCGCGGAACAGGTTTTCGCGTGCGCCCGTCGCTTATAAAAAAAAAAAAAATTACAAAAACTATTCCGTACGCCCGGAGCGGCTTTAATATGATTTCTATTTTATTACGCATCGCCATCCATGTAGAATATAATAATAATATAACCCTCTCCTCGCCGACCCACCACCCCACCACCACACCTACCGCTGACGGCTATTCCATTATATTATAATATACACGCCGCTGCGGTTGTTGCCATGTTAAATTATTATTATTACTATTATTATTATTATTATTATACACAATCAGGCGCGAGTTGCGGCGAAGTTACTATTATTACCACGATAATAATATAATATAGTAATTACAATAATAATATTATATTGTATACCTATATAATATTTGCCTTGTCGATTAACCTGAGCGCCAAACTCCACCGACGGCGCCCCAGGCCGTCTTGCGAACCGCGACGGGGAGGGAGGGAATACGACTACGTCTTATACCCACTCCGTTGGGTGTAAGTACCGCGGGATTAACTTAAAAAAAAAAAACACAAAAGCCTCGCAACCCTCCCCACCCACTTCTCCACCCCGGACGGTAAGTGCGTCGTGGTATCCCGCCGTATTATATATATATGATACGTACTGCACGAGCAGACTTTAGAACGGCGGACATATTATACGACAGCGCTAGCGACGTCATTGTATATAATATTATAATGTTATATTATATGGTAATGTTATATTATATTGTAATGTTATATTATCTCATACATCTAAGTATATAAAAATTAATATTTCTTTGTTCGCTTGTCCTTTATCTATTCAAAAACTACCGTTTCCAAAAAAACTTATGTTGTCAATTTATAGATTCCTCGAGACTCGGATGGTGTTTATAGCTTATTTGTTCATAGGTTGCTATATCAGGGTGGATCACAAATTAATTTAGTTTTTGTTCAGGTATTTAAATGGTCGCTATTGGATTATAGTACCTACAACTATTATAATAAAATGAATAGAAAACATATTTATGTATGGCATATATTATATAGAAATGTTTACAAATATATTACTCAAATACTCCAAATACTTATGAACACAATTACAATGAATAGTGATTACTTTTATGATATTTTACTGTCTTAATAATTTTGGACATATTTTTGATGTTAAAATAATGTTAAATTAATTTTTGTGTTAACACAATATAAAGACCAAAAACAATACATTAACGTTATTGGATTTACGTCGGCTTTTATGCATTCGTTGAATTTGTCTCAAGATTTTTGAGTTAACATAAATAAATATGTCCAGAATTTAGGAGTGGAAAATCATAAAATTAATCAATATTATTGTGTTTGTATCAAACGTTTTTAAAAAACGAAAAAAAACCTAAAACGAAAACAATTATTAAAACAAATCAAAAAATAACTGAAAAACGATAACAAAAAATCCCAAAAACCGAAAAAAATTTAATTACGAAATCAAAAACGAAAATAAATTATACATTATATATTATACATAATTATATTTATACCACGAAACAAAAAAATTTTAAAAAAATTTCACTTAAATCTTTACCAATAATGCACTTTTCAAATTTAAAAACATTTTAATTTGAAATCATACATTTTTAATTTTAATTTTTATATAAATTATAATTTTGATTTAAAATTTAAATATTAAGAATAATTAATTTTAATTTTTAACTTTTAAGTGCATTTCTATACTGCGCGTTACTAATATAAAATATTAAAAGCAATATTATCAAAAACTTTATTTAGAAACAACAGGAAAATAACGTTTTTAAAAACATTAATCAAAAACGATATTTTTTAAATCAATAAGCAAAAACGAAAACGAAAAATTGAAAACGTTTTCCATCCCTGGTTTGTATCATAAATTTAAAGTGAAGTCAAACGGAAAACGATAAAAATATCGATTAATTTTAACCCGCGGAAGAAGTCGGGTCTTAAGGAAAGCTAAAGATTGTAAAAAGTGTAAATATGAAGTAAATATTTTCATTAAACGACTAAAACACCCAACACTGTTATGGGAATTGATAAATAATACTGGCAATTGTTATGAATTATAGAAAATACGAGTGTTTTTTGTTGATAAATTAATGTGATAGATACGAACAATTTATGAATTGGTTAATTAATAATATAAAGTTTAGAATGTTTAGATACAACAGTTTGGCCTTATATTTCGCCTGCTTACATTTTTATAGTTATTATAATACCAAATTATAGAGCTAACTGAGATCGTATGTTGTATGTGCTACTTTAGAAAGTATGTTCGCATATTTTAACAATAACTAATAAGTGGTAATTTTACGATTGCGCAATAATTGAAATAATACTAACATTTGTAAATTTATTCAAAAACTATTGCAAATCTATGCATAATCTTGGTACTATATAAGAATATTTAAATTTTTCTTGAATCGTTTTCAAGATCAACATTATTGGCGTATGGCATGTCGTATGGTTATAAATTTATAATTTAAAGCTCTCGTGTATAATATGTACATAATATAATATTATTGTCTCGCGGTCTACAACATTATTATCTATCGAAATTATATCATATATATTGAAAAGGTAGTTAAATAAATTCAACTCATTTAATTTCGTATAATATAATATGATAATAGGTAGGTAACATAACTAGTAGGTACATTGTGAAGATTTGTTCGATAAGAACGCTTTAGGAGGTAACAACGTTATAAAATTTACCAATTTATACTCGCGCGCGTTTGTAGTCTATATAATATAAAAAATATATAATGTTATAATGTACCTACATAATATTTCGATTTATATAAATCGAACATAGTAGGTGCGTAAAAAACGAACACAATCATTTTTTGATCGCAAAGTCCCTTTCGATCGCGGGGCAAACAAAGTGTTGTATAAATTATTAATGTAGTGATGCAGGAATATGTAAAAAATATAATGTACGATTGTGGTCGACGATCTCTCACTCGCCTTTTTCCATCACACCCGACCGGTGTACGGTTTTGCCACGCGTTGTCCGTTTGCCGCAATCACCGCCGCGGCGTACTTATACTATAGAATACTATATATACTCGTCGGATAACCTTGTGCCGGGACACATAATATAATATATAGTAATAATAATATATATATATATATACATGTATACACCTGTTTCTATATTTACATACATAATATAGAATAATATAATATTATTATTATATACACGACGACCGCGCCCGCCGACGCACTAGGAATTTGATCGTTTCGAAAGGAGCGCGCGTGACGACGCTGCAGTGTCCGGTAGAAAGTAAAAAAAACATGCTCACCCCGCCGCTCTTCCGCCATCTTAGAACTCGCCACTCTATATATATATACCCGTCGTGTGTGTATAGATATATATTATATATATATATATGATAATCACATAATATTATATTATCGTGTGCGTCAACGCTTTGTAGATTTTGTTTTTCGTTTCGACGCACGTGGGGCCCGTGAGCGGTCATGTACCCGCGCGAGGTATACAGCGAGAGTATAATAATAACTTGACACAATATTATGATATGAGGTCCGCACACGTGTACAGAAAAAAATCTCAACACGCTTACAGGTTGTAGTAGACATAAAAATAATATGCCTCATGCGGTTTCGATAGAATCGGAAAATTTAGAATTTGGAAACGTTTTAATTTCGACTGTTGCCTGATAACAGCTGCTGCTGCTGCTGCAGATATTATAATATCATTTCACCACTCCCGAACCCTATAATAGGAATATTATACGCATTACGTTGTGTGAAATAGTTCAAAGGTGGTCGGCTTGGACAATAACGATTTTTCAAAGGTTTCAAAGGTGGCTTATAATAGGTATATTATAACAATATCGTGCATACAATAGAAATATTTGTTTATTTACAAGTGATTATGACGTGATCAATAGGTACCAAACAATAGGATGGTATATCGTAAATAAGATAATAATACCTCTATTCTAACACAGATCAAGTGCTATTATGACGCTAAATTTTATAATTTCGTATAGCTGATAATGCGTAGATACGATTATGTTATTGATCAAACTATTAAAAAAAAACTGGAACTATTATAATATAATAAAACTATATAACTATATTCAATATAAAAAATTAAAACCTTAAAACTAAAGTAGTGTTTCAAATGTTTCAATACCTACAAATTATGTGTAATCATGATGCGTAATCACAAAATTATTGAAAATCTATTAAAAAAAAGTTTTTGGTTATGATTCATATTGAGCAGTTCACTATAGCTAGGTACTCTAGTAGCTATAGCTAGGTACCTATAGTAGCCTAGCTAGGTACCTATAGTAGCTATAGCTAGGTTTATTAGTATTCCTGTGTTTTTAATAGAGTTTTTTTTTTCCTGGGAATTAATACAAAATGTTGTACCTACCTAATATAATATTTTAATTTGATTATTAGTTTTATGAATTATTCATAATATTTTTAAAGTCATCCAACAATACAGCACATTGTGTAAAATTCAAATTTTTCTATCGCAAATATAATATTATAAAAAAAAAAACCATTATTTTTACAAACCGTAACCGACAAAAGGCTCAAAATTAGACTCGTTTATGAACGAACATAAGCAGTGGGTATCTTACCTATTACATTATTATTGAACTATTATCATTTAATATTATGCCATAGGTTTATAATAATATTATACAGTCTACATACTGTGCCAATGACTTTGCGTAAATATTATAAGCAATACGGCGCCGATTACATAGAGCAATAATTAAATTACTGCGCATATATAATGTTTTACTATATTGTAACTATATAGTAATAATTTCAAAGAATATTATAACGTCGCACTAGTTGTAGGCTGTGTATAATAATAAATGTTCGCAATATTATGCTAACCATGACAGGTTCCATCGAAAAACACGGATCACCGCTAACCCACGCTACCCACGCCAACTATAATTAGTAACCATGGTAATAAAATATAATACCAATCAAAAATTCAAAATTCTAACAATGGATTTCATAATATTATAATATTGCAAATGTGACATTTTTTCACACTGCTATAAATTATTGTAATGGACATATTGTAAAAATAAGTAAACTCGATTCTTGATTTTCTTACTAAAAGTATTGACACACGGATCCGTCGTAAAATTATTTAGATATAATATTATACTATATTATATATATTTATTGTTTGACGAAATATGTCTTTGTATTAATTGTTTCGTAATAAAAGTTGTTTTTGTTCTTGTTAACGCCCTCTTATAATGAATTAGCATTAAGTAGTGACTCATAAAAACATATTTCAGATGAATGCCTCTATATTATAATAATATATTCTTTGTTCGTAAAAAATGTGTTAATAAACAGATTTTTTTTTTAAAAAGTCGTTAACTATTTTTTATTATTACGGCTGTTAAAAAAAATAAAAACCATAAGTAGACCTATAAAATATGTGATTGAGAATCGAAACTGGTTTGGTTTATTTCAAGCCCAAAAACGGTTTCGATTTTTTTTGAGTTTCGAATCCGAAAACAGTTTCGTTTTTTCCAAGTTCCGAGTGTGTAAACAGTTTCAATTTTTTTTTCGGACTAACCGGTTTTTCGAATAGGTTTCAAACCTGTTTTGGTGTACCTAAGTATAGCATGAGTTTTATTTTTATTAAATCCAAAATACGCACACCTAGTCTCCCCCTTCCACACGTACTCGTACCACGCCTATATTCGTGTATTATACCAGTCTATTTCGTAAAACATGTATTTAATATTTCATGGCGGTGGCATATAACTACACGTCATCGCGTTAACACTTCACCGAAGTTAATTAATTGTATACATGAATTATTATTGTTAAACGATTTTAACGTAATTTTTTTGTTTCGTCCACTTTCAGAGCGACGACGGTGATAATATGGTCCAACAAATGGCGACTTGGAAAACGACTGAAGCAACGGCATCCGACGACTATTACGATAGGTTGCTGATGACGGTTATGATGGAGGCGGCGGCTGCGGCATCCACTGTTCCATCGCCGGCCAGCATCTCCGGTACAGCTGACAATGTCGGCAGCAGCTACATCAGCAGCAGCAGCAACAGTAGCAATAGCAGCACTTGTAGCACTACGTTTAAAAGCGTGACCGGTGATAGTGGCGACGTGAACGCCGACGGCGACGGCAGCAACAACATGTGCTTCAAAATCGAAGTGGACGACGACGAGTATAACTGCGGCGACGCAGCCACTACGACGGCCGCCAACGACGATGATGACGATGACGACAACGAATCGGACGTACCCGAAACGAAGTATCAACCCAGGCAGATCCTCGTCAAGACAGCAGTGACGTGCTGTTCGACAACGGCAGCCGTGTTGGAGGCGGAAAACAAGACGTTGTCCGCCGCTACGACGGCTGTCGCTCCCTCCGGGTCCACGTCGTCGTCGCAACACATCCACTTGTGGCAGTTCCTCAAGGAATTGTTGACAGCGTCTTCAGCAGCCGCAGAGCTACAGACGGCCACCGCGGACGGCGACGCTGCTCACTGTGGGGCGTCACCATCGTCCCCGTCGGCGCCGTCGACGACGCTCTCAAACGCCGCGGGAAACAAGCCACAGCAGCCGCAGCAGATGATTCGGTGGCTGGACCGGAAGCAGGGCATATTCAAAATCGAAGACAGCCAGGCCGTGGCCCGTCTTTGGGGACGCCGCAAGAACCGGCCTGCCATGAACTACGACAAACTGTCCCGGAGCCTGAGACAATACTACAAAAAGGGCATCATGCGCAAGACGGATCGTTCCCAACGGCTCGTGTACCAGTTTTGTCATCCGTACAACGCTTGACGAAACAAAACATAATATTAAAAAAAAAATGTTTATGTATTATTATTATTATTATTATTATTATTATTATTATCGGGTCTGTGTAGCGATTGGAGTGACACATCAGTACACAATAGTTGTTCAGAGAACACTCAGAATCTAAAATGTTATCATGTTTTGATGATTTCATTATATACTCTCGAAGTATTGGATTCGAATCTGCCAGGGGGGGGGATCATACTATACGGTCACTCTTAATATTGCAGCACAGTCCTGATTCTAGTATAATATATCTGACTATATTTAAGAATGGTGGTGGTAATTTTTATTTTATTTTCTTATTTTATTTATTCTTCAAGAAAATAATGGGCCCCCCGAGCATGTTCGTGTGGGGGGCCATAACCCATTGGTAATCTAATACTTGTTAGGTTAAAATAGTGCTTGTACTTCGTCCGAACTATTGTGATCATAATTCGGTGGAGGGAAAGCGCTCATAAATACAATAACACATACGCCGTCTCGTGGTCGTCGCCGTCGGACGGGCTGGCGGTGGACGCGAAGCCACTTAGGCGCGAGCGATGAACGCGGAAGGTAATTTTCGCGAGCGCAACCGTCACGTCCTTTTTCAGGGTGACGGGGTTTTTTTTGGGGGAGGGGGAGGGATTTGTGGGAAGCTTTCGAAAATCCGGTCAGGTGACGATTTTGGTCTATATAATCATTAATAATATTAATATAATATAATATACGACCAAATTGCACGTACGGTTTTCGACGGTACCTATAGTTGTCGAGCTCGAGCAGGAGAGGTGGGAGAATAATGAGGCGCTTTAGGCGCGATTTTTTTTTTTTACTATTTTAAAACTACCCGACCACTGAGGCCCTCTGAGGCCATGGTTGGATTTGGGTGGTTGTTATCGGTCCCATATATCCATGATATATTGTCTATTACGTACGTTCTGTGAACATGTTTTTTTAAATATTGTAATTATAAAAATATATTTTTTTTATTTTACATAATAATTATTATTATGTGAATTCAATATTATATTATGCTAAGGTGTATATACACATTTATATTCTAAAATTAATTATATTTAATAATATAGTGTGGGGGGATGGTGATTACGGTTTCTGTGCGGACTGTATTAATCCGCAGACGTAATACACGCCAATTGGTGCAGGTACTCAATAATATATATATATATATTTTTTATTAAGTTTTTTGAAGTATATAGCCATTAAAATTTTGTGGGGGAATAGGGGATTACGGTTGGCAACACGTATAAATGTGGGTCAAGAAATGTTTACTTAACAGCTGGGTGGTCACCCATCCGGGAACTAGAATAGTCAGACGATACTTGATCTGAGAACACATTAGCTACTGTCACCAACCACCGCGCCACCCTATGCCCGACAATAACACTATAATATAAGTACCTATTAAACTATGCATGAAATAAATGAAAATGTAAAAACTACAAACATAATATTTACATTGAATGGTTAGTGGTGAGCTAATATATTGTTTTTAAATAAAATGGTCTGAATTGGGGAGGCTCTAATTTAAGCACTTATTTTAACATTAAGCTGTTGAGATAGAGCTCGTTCTTTTTTACTCTATGCTAATACGTATAATGTATACATACTTCGATTATAATATGATATTAATATATTAGGTATAGGTGCAATTTATTTCATTGCAAACGTTTGGTTTTAATTGTTTACTTAAAATGTTTGTAATAATATTTTTATTGATCGTACTAATTTAAGTTTTGAAGATGAAATCATTTTATGCATAATAATAATAATATTAATAATACTGATTTCTGTGAACGCTTACGCTCTCATTAATGAATCTTAATTTTTTAGTGTTCTGCGTATTTTTACTATGCATATTGTAAATAGTTTTTTATGAGACACTACGAATGATGTATATACGACGATGTATTGTATTATATTATAATCATTATATATTATAATTGATATAATAATAAATACACGCATCGCAGTGTTATATATTATATAATATTATAATTTGATATAATATGTATAATGTATATGTATGTATTATTTATTTGTAGGTCAAGCTATACGTATTATAATATAATATACGTTAACGTTACCCTTTATTGACATATTATAATTAGTCCAAGTAATATTAAGACTTATGAATTATGAATCATTTCATCTATACATAATATTATAATATGACATATTAAAATATGTATAATTACAAAATATTATATATGATGAAGAATCGTCAACAAAGAGGTTACGGGTTATTATTGCATAATTAAATAAGTAATATAATATATACTATTCTATAACAATAATTATGCAATTAATAATAATTTGTATATATAGGTGGTATGATTAAGTTAGATTGGAGTTTGTTCATTTTTATATTATTTTCATATTTTATATATATTTAAGAAGGGTTTTTAACAATTTTTAAAAATGTATTTTATGATTGAAAGTAATCATTATATTGTAACTGTATATATTATAATGTAAATTATATTATTATTTTGTTTTATATTTTTTTTTTATAAATGCTTCAAACATTATACACTTTTATAAAATACTGTAGTATTTTTTATTTTTGAAATAACATATTCCTTTTTTCTACATTGATTCCAGCTTTATCGATTCCTCGACACACTGATATTAATTAAATTAACAATTTGCCAATTTGAATTTATGAGTAAATCGAGGTTAAGACTTGAGCTACTGTTTTCATACCAAACAAAATATTTCCAACTAGTGAAGCTATATCAGGATTTATTAAAATGTTGTGAACAAAAAACCAAAAAAGTTATAACTATAGGTAACCATTTACACTTAGTTAATTTGATTGGTCAATATCCAATAAATATATTAATATATTATTGCATACCTACTATTATAGGATTATATCATTGTATTAGTACGAAGATAATAGTTATTTTAAGACTGTGTCTCTGTGGCAGTGGCATACCTGGCATTTAAGAGGACGTCGCACACGCATATATTATGTTGACTTACACGTGTACGACATAGCACATTTTAAGCAAAGCAGATCACGTTTAGGCCCGATAGTATTAAAATTAGAGTGAATCGACCTCTTATACAATTTAAGGTAAGAATATTATCTAGGGCATCTCATCGGACTTTTATTGTATTTTAATTTTAAATTGAGTTATGAGTATTAAAAGATGTATAAACAATGTACAGTTTTAAAATGTTCATAATTCACTTTAAAATTGAAATATAATAAAAATCCGATGAGATGCCTTAGATAATATTCTTACCTTTAAATTGTATAAGAGGTAAATTCACTCTAATTTTAAAATTAACAGGGCTAAACATGATTTTCTGAGCGTAAAATTTGCCAAGTCGTACACGTGTAAGACAGAGACAACATATACGGGTGCGACGCCCTCTTAACAAACGTATATGAAATCGGTTCATATTAAATATGAATAATAAATAAAATAATAAATAATATATAATAATAAATAATAAATATTAAATATAAATATCAAATTTTGATGTTTACATTACTTTTGTTGTGTAGGATACTTTATTTTTGAATAAAATATTATAAAAAGTATGAATTTTAAATAATTATAATAAATAAAATATAAAATAAATGTTAATCAATATTATTGTGATATTATCATACATTATGATTTAATTTAAAAAATGTACTGAACGATTTTAACTATATATATTGGATTTAACAATAAAGAATTCAGATTATTTCACGACGGCTATATGTGTTACCCGTGTTAGGTTTATAGTATATTGTATATATACGTAGGTACTATATTGGAATATTATTTATTATTATAGCAAATAAGGTACATAATATACAAAAGATTTACGTGAAAAAAATTAATAATTTATTATAAACCAACACAAAAGATTATATTTAATTCGGTGTATAAGTGCTATGAAATATCAAATAATAATAGGTAGTAATAAAATGATACGAATAGGTCAGTATAATAATAGGTTTTAAGGACCATTTGCTCAGTATATTTCAAATGTTTGAAATTTAACTATACAGCATAATAAAAATATTGAAAAATTAAATCTAATTACGTAATAAAATTATCATGGTGATAATTTAAAGAAATAGGGAAGTAGGTATCATACATGCAGTTGTTATACAGGACGAGTCAAGTGTACCTTTTAATAAGTTACAGTGACTTGAGTGTGTGTATGTGACATGTGTTGAATATTATTGAATTCAATGATTCATTTCTTGCCTAAGAAAAACCATTCTGAGCGAAAGCGGTCTGTCAGCCTACACAATATTACTAAGTGCGTTTTAATATTTTATGATTTATAATAATATTAATTATTATATTGCTATTATAGTAATTTATACTAAGATTCGTAATACAGAAGGTTGAATAAAATTAATTGTTGACCAAAACATTGTGTCTATTATGATATTATAAATATTATTTATTTTAATTAATGTAATATAATAGTATTTATTATATTTATATCATGTAGTTATATTATTGTTATTAACTTTTGTGCCAAGGATTTATCGTATTTATCGTAGAATGGTGTAAATAGGCTCGTGCCTCATAATATACATAGGCAATATCATAAAATTAATCTATAAATATTTAAAAATTGCCACTGTGTATATAAAATATAATACTTAATAATATACGCAAGAGTTCCTACCTACAAATAATATTTTTGAACTATAGAATAATAAAGTCGTTCTTCTTTGTTTAGACAACTAATGTTAAACAAATAAAAACTTCAGATTTCTATAAAAAAAATTATTTCTAAATATTTTTTGTTTGTTTGAATCAGTATGAACTACATAATATGATGATCATTATTTGTAGTACATTTCCAAGCTTTTTGACTGAGGGAAATTTTTTTACTACATTTATAGAAAAAAATTTAAATGTTTAAAATGTCATTTACTATTGATCAAAAAGGAATAAACTATTTTAAAAATTATATCACAGAAAATGATGGAAAATGTTAATATAAATGTTTGGTGTCCA